GCTCCGAGTGGTCTAAATCTAGCCAAAAGCAATTACATACCGTAAATATAACTATAAGAACTAATCTAATTAGTAAAATCAAGACTTAAGCAAGAAATTAGAAAATCGCCCCAAAAAGTTGATCTGGACCCACGTCTCGGAATCGGGTAAAAATTACAAAATATGAACACCCATTCAGTCACGAGTTCACTCCTACCAAAATTATCCAAATCCGATATCAAAATCTCAATCAAAACCAAAAATCTTAATTGGAAAACTTCTTCCCATTTTTCCCAAATTTTCAACCCAAACCCAAAATTAAAAGGTGGAATTAATGATAGATTAGTGCGATATAACCAAAATCAAGTGTAGAATCATTATCCAATCGATGTCTCTGAAATCCCTCAAAATCTCGTCTAAATCCGAGCTCTCAAACTCAAGTTTTGATAAAAATGGCCAAACCCTCGATTTTGAAATGCTATATTCATCCCAGGTGAATCCTTCATCGTGAACGCGTCCATACCCTCGCATTCGCGTAGAACAAAATCTCACTGACCAAAATTCCTCCTTCGCGAACGCGAGGGACCTCTCCCGAACGCGTATTTTCCACTAGCTGACCCTACGCGAACGTGGGATCCTCTTCGCGAACTCGTAGGCTAAATGCCCGAAGTCCATCTGTCTGTTCCTCTACGTGAACGCGAGGTCCATATCGCGAACACGGTGTCTCAAGGTTCCACATCTTTTCGAACGCGAGAACAACATCGCGAACGCGAAGAATAACTCAGCTGGCCTCCCATATGCCTTATGTGAACGCGAGATCTCTCTCGCGAACGCGATGAAGAAAACCAGCAATTAAAATACCAGAAAATTCTGCAATTCTCCCAAGTCCAAAAATGATCCGTTAACCACTCGAAAATAACCCGAGGCCCACGGGACCTTAACCAAACACACCTATCAGTCCTAAAATACCATACAAACTTAGTCGAGCGCTCAAAACACCTCAAAAAACAACAAAAACACGAATTACCCTCCAATCCAAACTTAATAAACTTGAAACTTCAAATTTCCACAACCGATGCCGAAACCTATCAAACCACGTCTGATTGAGCTCAAATTTTGCACACAAGTCATATTCAACATTACGGACCTACTCCAACTTCTAGAATCGGAATCCGTCCCCGATATCAAAAGTCCACTACCGGTCAAAATCTCCAAAAATTTGACTTTCGCCATTTCAAGCCTAAATCAACTACAAACCTCCAAAACACAATCCGGACACACCCCTAAGCCCAAAATCACCAAACGAAGCCATAGGAACCGACGAAACTCCATTCTGGAGTTGACTTCACATATTTTCGACTACGGTAAAAATCATAAGGCTTAAGCTTCCATTTAGGGACTAAGTGTCCCAAAACAATCAAAAACCAAAAACAAAACCTCTTGGCAAGCCACATAAGCAGAAAAAGATGTGGGGAATGTAGAAGATAGGGGATCGGGGTTATTACTCTCAAAATGACCGGCCGGGTCGTTACAATATGACATGTCATTGCTCCAGCTTACCGAGGATATGACCCCCGATAGAAAAGTGTGGAGGTCGAGGATTAGGTTTGTAGGTTAATAGATAGTGGTGTGTTCCTCCTAGGCTTACTAGTAGTACTAGGACTATTTTGTATTATCTTATTCATGATTTTTTACTATTACATATTATATCTTTCGCGCCCGTTACCTTAATATATTGTTTTTACTATTGATTGCAACGTATTGTTTTATCTCCAATATTCCTTGAGCCAATAGTCTATTGGAAACAACCTCTCTATCTTTATAAAGTAGGGGTAAGGTCTGGGTACACACTATTCTTCCCAGACCTCAGGAATACACGGGGGTTTTGTTGTTGTTGTTGTTGTTGATGATGTTGTTATATTTCTTAAGCTCTTTTATTTTCAAGAAATTAAAATAAAGTCTCGCCTAACTATGTTTTTTTGAGTTATTTCTAATTTCCAAATTCAGTTTTTTCAATCTTTTAAAAACTCAAAAATGGTATACTGTATTTGAAAGTTTTGAATTGTAAAAGATTTATAAAACTTAGCTTGGAAATATTAGAGAAAAGGGTTTCTTTCAGAAACAACTTTAAACAAGCACTATTCAAAAAACAAAAAACTGAGTTTGCAAACTCAACTTTCGCAAAATTTCAAACTAATGTCACCTTAATTTCTGCCTTTTAAAATATAGTTTCTTGGAACAATTTTATATGATGTTCCTTTATTTATTTTTTATTTTTTAATTTAGTCTCCTGTTCCCTCTATTCCTTGCTTTAAATTGATGTTGTAGTACCACAACAACACAGTTGCTTTTGGGTAAACAGAAGAGCTCCCGTGTGTATGTAAGAAAGATGATAGGTCAGCCAAAGCATATGTGTCAACTATCATTTGTAACAGAAAGTTGAGACATGCACATATTGCAATCTGGTATTTGATGAGGCCATCTCTCTGTCACTGGTCCACCAAATTTTATGCGTATAACAGGGAAACTAGTTCTCTACATGTCCCTCCTTTTCACTTTTTCACTTTTCATTTATTTTTTGGAAGGGAGTTAGTTGTAGTATTAATTTTTGTATAATTATTCGGTATCCGGTAGTCCAAGGAAAGTGATCACTTGAAACCCTTCGTCAAAGAATTATATTGTATATAGAGGGTGTTTGGCTAAGCTTATAAGCTGGTCAAACTAGCTTATAAGCATTTTTCGGCTTATCTACGCGTTTAGTAAAGTTAAAAGTGCTTATAAGCCAAGTGCTTATAAGTCAAAAATAAGCCAAAAGTCATAAGTTGGTCACACCCAGCTTATGAATTTTTAGCTTATAAGCACTTTAAGTTTGACCAAGATTTTTACTATTTTATCCTTAAAATATTCATTTTTAGAACAAAACTCCTACGTCGATACTCACTGCCTCAAGTATTCAACTTAACCCTCCCCCCTCCCCCCACCTCTTCAAGTCTACAATTCTTATTGACTATATAAGATAAGTAAATTCTTTATTCCTTTGCATATTTATATCTATGTGATTGTGTATTAATCTTTGAACTATTTGTAATAAATGAGGACATATAAAATTTTGTGTGTATTGCTTTCTAAGTGTTGTGGTGATGAAGACAGTGTTTGTTTCTCTTCAAATATTTGTCCTGTTTAGGTTATTTTTACTGAAAAACTTTTGTTAATTATTAAGTATTATAACTTATGTTATATGTCTTATGATAAAATAAATTATATTTATCTATAAAAATTATACTTATCAAAGCACAGTTTAGTATTTAAAAACTAAAATAGATAAATAGAATATTTTGTAATTTGAATTGATTTG